CGACACTCCTTTGAAGCTAAATATAAGATTTCTGTTTTCACATTGGCAGATGGACGGTAAAGAAATTCGGTCCATTAACCCGGTGGCAGGCCAGTTGGAAAGACAAGTCATTTCAAGATTTTAGAATAATCATAAAGGCGCGTCCTTTGTTAAGACTTATTTCTGAGCTTTTAGTTAGGAAAGTAAGTTGGCAAGTCTCTACCTTGAGTTTGGAAATACAAACATTGAGCAGAGTTCCATGACTAATCTCATTCAAACTTCCAGTTTGGGAAATGCACATAATTACATTGGTGGGGAACGGAGAGTTGGGGGATTAAACTGCTTTTTAATATGAATCTCTCTTGTGAAGATGAAACAAAATAGCACAATAAAAATCCATTTAAGAATCATATTGGCTTTTATTTTACAGCCCCTCGATTTGCAATTCTCTCCTTCATCCTACCTTCTAGTTTATCAGCTATGTGTGTATATTATTTATACATATATAAATATGTAAGTATACACATATTTATATATACAGGAATATATATACATCCTGTAAAAGAGCTCTTGAAACTTCACTGCAAGTGGAAGGACAGAATAAAAGGTAAAACAGGTATCAAAATTTACAAACATTAGCTGAGATTTTGCCTAGTAGAGTTTTTGCATAAAGCACTTTCTGCTTTTCCAGTCTAAATTTCATCCCACATTAACAAAGAACACTTTCCCAGCCTTGGTTTTCTGCTTCTGATCTACAGATTAATTGCTCTAAAATTACAAAATAACCTAAGATTTCTAATCATGCTCTAAGCTAAAGCCATAAATTTAGTGCACTTCCTAAAATTTATCTAAGAGCTGAGCTGTGTAGACTATACCTTAAAATACCTTTCTTTACTGCCAATATCACAATGTGCTTTTTTATATTTCAACAGTCTATATGTAATTTCTTTTTGCTTAGGGAAAGAACAGTTTCAATTTATAGGTGTGTGGAATGTGTGTGCGCTCACGTATGTGGGCAATGGGAAAGTACAAGATGCTAATGCAAAGGAAAGGTCACTTCTGCGAAGCAACACAACTCACAGAAATGACCTTTTGGGCCTCTAAATCCACACATTCCTGCCAGAGTGCCTAGTCTCTGTCCATACACTGGTTTGTTCTTTTTAATCTCACTGAAAGATGAAAGCAGCCTATTCCCAACACTACAACCAGAAGAATCTGTTCACTTGCCCAGCATGGTTCACTGTTGAGCAATCTCATGATTCCCCACCTTTGGTTTCAATTTTTTTAATTACAATTTACATACAATATTATTTTCTATTAGTTTGAGGTATACGGCATAGTGATTAGACAATCCTACACTTCACAAAGCACTTCCCCGGATATTTCCAGTGCCTACCTCGCAACACACATAGTAATTACAACATTAATTACTATATTCCCTGTACTTTACCTCCCTGTGACTATTTTCTAATGACCAATTCATACTTCTTAATCCCTTCAACTTTCTCACCCAGTCCCCAACACCCCTCCTCTCTGGCAACCATCAGTCTGTTCTCTATACCCATGATTCTGTTTCAATTTTGTCTATTTGTAGAGTTTGTCCATTTGTTCTTTAAATTCCACATATAAATGAAATCATATGGTATTTGTCATTCTCTGACTGCTTTATTTCATCTAGAGCAATACCATCTAGATCCATCCATGCTGCCGTAAATGGTAAAATTTCATTATTTTCTATGGCCGAGTAATATTCCATTGTGTATACGCACCACAACTTTTTGTCTATTTGTCCATTGATGGGCACTTGGGTTGCTTCCATATCTTGGCTATCGTAAATAATGCTGCAATGAACATAGGGGTGCATAAAGTCTTTCAAATTAGTGTGTTGGGTTTTTCGGATATATACCCAGAAGTGCAATTGCTGATTCATAAGGAAGTTCCACTGTTAATGTTTTGAGGACACTCTAAATTATCGTCCATAGTGGCTGGACCAATCTGCATTCCCACCAACAGCATACAAGCGTTCCCTTCTCTCCACATCCTTGCCAACCCTTATTGTTTGTTGATTTATTGATGACAGCTATTCTGACAGTTATGACATATCTCATTGTGGTTTTAATTTGCAATTCTCTGATGATCAGTGATGTTGAACATCTTTTCATATGTTTATTGGCCATCTGTATGTCCTCTTTGGAGAGCATCTATTAAGGTCCTCTGCCCATTTTTTAACTGGATTGTTTGGGTTTTTTGGTGTTGAGATGTAGAAGTTCTTTATAAATTTTAGATATTAATCCCTTATCAGATATATCATTGGTGAACATGTTCTCCCCTTCTGTGGGTTTTTTCATTTTGTAAATGGTTTCTTTTGCTGTTTAAAACCTTTGCAGTTTGATGTACTCCTATTTCTTTATTTTTTCTTTTGTTTCCTTTGCCTGAGGAGACATATCAGAAAAAAATTTAATAAGAGAAATGTCCAAGATTTTACTGCCTATGTTTTTCCTTCTAGGAGTCTTATGATTTTGAGTCTTACATTTAACTCTTTAATCCATTTTGAGTTTATTCTTGTATATGTTGTAAGAAGGTGGTCTATTTTCATTTTTTGCATGAATCTGTGCAATTTTCTCAACATCATTTATTGAATAGATTGTCTTTACCCCATTGTATGCTCTTGCCTTCTTTGTGAAATATTAGTTGCCCATATAGGCATAGGTTTATTTCTGGATTCTCTATTCTGGATTTTCTATTCTCTATTCCGTTGATCTGTCTGTTTTTTATGCCAGTACCATGCTGTTTTGATTACTATACCCTTTTACTATAGTTTGATATCAGGTAGTGTGATACCTGCAAGAAAGTCTTCACTGCTATCCCAGATTGGTGGCGGCCAGCAGACTCCTCCACAGGGTGTGACCTAGGCAGGACCATAGGGAATTGGGATGGTGGGATTATTGCATTCCTTTAGGCTGATGCTATATGAAGAGGAGTGCTCAAGGCAGGATAGATGGCATCTGTGGGTGACATGGGTGAAGGAATCAGCACAGGGATGTCTGGCAGCTGTCCCTTTAGCCTTCTCCTGGAAGTCACACAACCCTCTGAGCTGCCTTGCTTCCATGGGAGCCTAGGGTGAGTGGCCTCAAATGAGATTTTCTGCACCAACCCTGTAAGGGAGCACTTGGATTTCTAGCTGAATCCTGTCTCTCCCTGGTGGACAGAATCCCCACTGATTTTCACAGCCAGATATTACGTGGGCTCCTCTTCCCAGCTCTGGTGCTCCAGACTGGGGAGCCTGCCATGAGGCTGGCACCTCACACATCTCAGGGGGAACCTTTGCAGCTGAGATATCCCTCCAGATACTCAGCCACCACATGTAGGTGCGGGCAAGCCCCTTTCAAGTCTCTGCCCTTCCCACCGGTCTCAACGTGGCATCTGCAAATCCTTGGTTATAAGACTTCTGTGCAGCGAGTCTTCAGGTGGTTATTCAGGTTAATTGTTCTGTAATTTAGTTGTAATTCCAGTTTGGTCCTGGGAGGAGGTGAGTGCAACTTCCACCTACTCCACTGCCATCTTTGATCTCTAAAACATTTCATCTTAACTCCCTAGTGGCAAACACAAAAAGATGTCTAGCAATAGATGAGCTATTTCCAATGATACCAATTGTTGCCAAGTTGAGAAGGAAAAAAAGCAACATCACTGTATCCTACCACCTCTTTTCTTCCTATTTAGAGGGGTCATACATATAAAGTATTTCCCCTTTCTTATAGATTTCACTAATCACTACTTATTGAGCAATCTTCTTCTCATATATCTATATTCTTACCCTCTTTATTACTCTCTCTTCTAACATTCTAGTCTAACAGCAATAGA